TATTATTTATTTATGATTTTTTTTATTTCTTTGTAGCCCATTGGTGGAGCCAACATGGGCGTAGTTCTCCAAATTTACAAAAGTTGGCCATTCAGATCTTAAAGCTAACCACTTCTTCATCCGGTTTGAGCATAATTGGAGTACTTTTGAAGGGGTAAGGCCATAAGGGTAATTTGTATAATTTTATAAATAATACATGAACCATAGATATTAGATTTTAATTAGTTCGCGTTCATTTTATTTTGTTAGGTTCATACAAAGTAAAGGAACAGGCTTGAATCAAAGAAGCTCAATGACCTTGTCTATGTCAAGTACAATCGATTCTTGAAGGACAGATTTGCGAAGAAAGATAATAGAAACCCCATCAGATCAAAAAATATGTACAATGTTATAAAGTGGTTAGTTGATGATGATGAGGTCGAGGGGCATGAAGGATCGACATGAGACATGGTCATGGATGCTTCAGGGACATTAGCTGACCCTCCTAGGGCCACTAGAGCTTCTGCACAGAGAACAAGGGTGGAGGAAGAGGAGGAAGAAGAGGCAGATTCACAAGAGACGGAGGAAGACGAATCGCAATATGTCGAGGAGGGTGACGACTTCATCGATTTCGATGAATATAATGCCAATGCAGCTGACCCGAGATCTTTTTATGATGAATGAATGTTGATTATTGAATACGTATTAAACTTTGTTACTTTGAAGTTTGAACTTTGATTGCAGTATTGTGTATTGAACATTTGAACTATGGAAGATTCTTTTGAGTCTTCCAGTATCACTTTCATAGTTTTATAATTTGGTTGGTTGGCATATTTTAAGTTTTAATTAGATATGGATTATGGAGTATGAACCGACTTATGGATTATGGTTATGCTTATGAAATGTGTGCTAAATGCTAATATGTAGTATAATTTGAATATAACAGATAGTCTGATACTCAAATAACTGCAGAATCCTTATTTGGATTCAACTGGACTGCGGAATCCTCAACTAGGCCGCCCAGGTTCTGGGGGCCCGCCTAGGCGCTGAGCGGCCTGGACCCCCCAATCCACCTAAGACCCGCCTAGCACTTTTTGAAACATTGAGGTCAGAAAGGAAAAGAACAAGACTAACTTTAAGAATGAAAAAAAAAAAAGGACAAGCTCCTAATCTAAAAATTGTGGAAGAGAAGTGGGATTCAGAAATTGGAGACGCCGCTACACCTAGTTGGGTATTTTCTCAATCTTGCTTAATTTCCATATTGAACCTGATATAAAATCTATGAATTGTTTCATAAAAGCAATTAATGGGTGGAATGTGAAAGTGAAGTGAATCCCAATCTTAAAAACCAAGACCAAGTGTCAATGAATATAAAAAATGTAAGTACTCAATGACAACACTACGACAAAAGATAGCAATACAGCACAGGACAAAAATCTTCTCATCTAAGTTTAAATTTTCCTTTAATGGTGTATTTGTAATTTTCAATTTGACTTCTAAATATACTCATAAAGAGTAGACTCCCTTTTATTTTATGTAATGTAGCTTCATGGTGGGCCAATCATTGAGGGAGCACCAATCACTTACAAAGGATGGCCCAACGAACTTTGAACTTGTAACTCATCTCGTTGTGAGAGCAACTTTAGCACATTTGATATGGTAATCTCTTAACAGACTCATTATCCATTCACCATTTGTCATCGTCTCCAACTGACTATGCTACTGACCACTACCCCTAACTTCCATTATATTTGTCAAGTTATAAATATCTAACATTGCATTCATGCATTATCCAACAGTTTTTTAATCATTAACAACAAATTTCATTGCTAAATTATAAGTACAAAAACAAGAAACAAAGACCGGGAGATGTTGAGACAACATTTTGGAATTACAACACTGAATTTGTGTTGATATAGAATGATTCTCGAAGAACCCTTTCATGGACAAGGGTGCCTAGGAATGTGCACAAAACTCACATTGTTAGTATCAAATAGAGGATTCTTATGGGCCTATCTTATGACAATGAGAAAATCCCCTTCTACAACAAATTTAACTCTTAAAATGGAAGGATAGGTCTATACATACCATGCAACAGTAACATACAGGGAAGAGAAATAGGCTTGAGCAAAACAGACTAAAAAACCTTGTGATTGTTCAGTATAATCAAAAGATGAACCATTATCCAACCCGCAATGAAAATGACCCAATTGTTGTGAAAGATTTGGATGCGGTATAGCTAACCATTTCTCAAAAAAGATTTGGATGAGGCATGTGAATGGTTGGTCAAGGATGATGTTGGGGATGAACCAGTTTTTGCAAGGGAGATCTTGACATGAGTCAAATTTGTGAGGCACCTAGAACAACTTCGAGCCATATGTAGGGCACTTGATGTCAAGCTAAATGGAAAGGGAAGAGGGTCAAGAAGCAATAAAGAGTAATAGAAAAGGATTATGTGGAGACGCAAACTCAAAGGTGACCATTGACGAAAGACCGAGGAAACGGAAGAGGGCCAAAAGGCTAAACAGAGTAAGAAAAGAGGATTATTAATGAGATGCAAACTCAATATGCAGCGGGGAATGACCCGGATGATGATGGCTCAATATCATCATTAGATTCAGGTCCATTTGGTGGTTGCAAAGATAGACACATTGTTGCTAATAATGATATGAAACTCAAGCTGAAATTTAAAGTCATTAGATTTTCTTTTTGAATGGGAGTTCATCAAATTTTGTTCTCTCTTGTTTCAAGCATTGTTTTAAAAAGTGGACTACCAAGCGCCTAAGCGGTCCAAAAGCTAAATTCAGCGGGCTGTCCCTGGGAGGCTGCCCAAGGCTTGTGCCCCGCATAGGGGCGCAAATGCCCCTTGTTGAGGACATTTTTTGGTCTTTCTCTAATATAAGAGGGTTAAAATCATGGGTTTTAGGTTCATTTGAAACCTAATCCCCATTAGAGACTATTTTAGAGAGAGAAAAACCCAAAAAACAAACTAGTTTTAACTATGTCTGGAGTGTGGACTATCAGACTATGGATAATTGGATGTGGACTTATGGAGTGTGAAGGAGTGTGTGCTATGTGGACTTGTGTACTATACATTTGATGTGCCTAAGTCCCTAACTCTTATATATTATACAGTTATACTTATATTGTTAGACTAGAGACATTTTTTTTCTACTGGGCTGCCCAAGTTTTGGGCGCCGGCCTAGGCGCTGTGTGGTCTGAAACCCCCCGGCCGCCTAGTGTTTTCCGAGACACTAGTTTCAAGTCATGCTATTATAAGTCCTTTAGAGTTAGGACTTTCTACAAGTTCTAAGTTAGGAATCTTATGACTTTTATGTGTTGGGATAACATCATTGCCATTATGTAATCGTTTTTGTGACTCTTTGTTGTGGCATAATGGATGAATTTTGGGCAGCTTTCACTATTAGTTTTGGTACTTCAATTTCAAGTTTCAAACTCATACATATATGAGTTTGAAATAGTACAAGGGTCTAAATAACAAATACAAAAATTGTAATAAGATAGTTTGTGTAAAACAAATGTTTTATTACTTCATTTATTGGTATCCAACCAACCCTGTAAGTATCATTCTATGGTGCATGGAAACCCCCCCCCCCTTTACTGTCTAGGCCACTAGATATCTAGAACCTGCCTAAGTGGCCAGGACAACAACCCGCCTAAGAGGAAAATTCCGCCTTTTTGAACATTCATCAGTATTAGACTGAAAACATATGAAATTATGTATGGGCGGAGCATATATGTATGAAATTGATGTGCCAACAAAGAATGACCAGCATGTTTAACAATTATATGTCAATGGCCTGCCAACTTGAATGTCTATAGACCATATGCAGAGCCCAGTCAGCTTATGTCTTAAGTTCCAATCCCTAAGATTATGACAATCACTAATCAAGTAAAACGATAAATCAATAGCATGCCAAAAGATATAAATAAACTCAAAAGCATGTTTCCAATCGGAATGCCCATAGAAACTCGAATACTAGGGAGCTACCTCTAAATCACACCTGAAGAAGATACATGATACAGTTCTCAAGGACGGATCATCATTGCCCTCGAAAAGGGATAAGCATGTTTCATCTTTTCAAAAAACGTGAAAAGGATAAATGTGAACTCAACCTCAAGCCCCTAGGTCTAGAATATACAGTATACATATATATATATATTATATATGGAGAGACACAGAGAGAGAATCCAATGGGCAAAATGTGTAAACCAAATGCATCATCATATCCTGTTGGAAACTTAGTTAAGGACACAACTGAATGCACTTAACATAGCCCACTTTATAAACCATTTGACTACTTCTTTATTCAGAAATGAAAGTAAATAATGGAAAGAGAAAGAAACCAACAGTGCCTAAAATCATCCCTTTCAGTGTAGAACTCGGTTCCTATGGAAGTTAATTTTCAAAGTTTTAGCCACGCAAGTAAACCTCCTCTACAGTAAACCTCATGCCTCGTTCATACTGGACCCGGTGGTTAAAAAATCGAAATAGATTCCCAACTGAGCCAACTAAACAGAGTTTCTCAATTTTGGAGTAAAACTAGGTGAATTAGTTTTTAGAAGAAAAAGGTTCTGAGCCAACAATAAGATTCACACTTGAGCCCACGCATATAAAAAAGGAAACACAATCCACCACAAAAATACATTTAGTTTCAAAACAGAAATGTCAACCTAACACTGAGGTTTTTGTAATAAACCGATTCGTGTACAAATCGAGTTGACTCTATGGGTGAACTCAATCAGGATTGTATTTTAGAACTCTGCTTGAAATCATGGAGATAAAATTGAATTACTCATAACCACATGCAAAATCTCAAATAACAAAGATGCAGCTGAAAATGACATGTTGATCTGCCAATTTACTACATTTCCTCTTGATATTGTAAGGATTCAATGTCATTTAATTTTCCATTCAAAAATTTATTTAATTTCTTCCATTTAAAAAGCTAAGCTAAGAGCTGTAATAAGCAAGAATTTCCTTGTAGATCTTCACTTACGGAGTTTCTTGTTGTTTATAAGCATATATCTGCTTCCGCTGTTTTCTTTTTTGCTTTTTTTTTTTTTTGAAAGAAATGCTCCCAATGACTTCAATCCATTCCAACATAAGATATCCCCCTATTAACTTGATTAGTGCAGGTAATTCGGCACACAAAGCACCACAGTTAATAATAGCTAGAATTAAGATAATTTAAAATACAACTCAAATACCAATTCCATTCAGTTCAAACCCACATAAAATCCATGATGTAACAAAAAGAGGTGGAAAACGTGATGAAAAAGCAACGTTCACAGGAGAAATCCATGAACCCTATGAGTTTGCTTTGAAGTATAATCTCAACCCAGTCATACCCAAACTCGAAACCCAAAATTCAAGCATAAAGGAGAAGAATAACTAAAAGGGGGAACTGCAGTAATTAATTGAGAGAATTACCTAGAAAAAGAAGATGGGAGAGAAACATAAAACAGAAGGCATGTAAGGATCTCAGTTCACTAATTTTGATTTGGATATTCACGTTCAAGGATCAGACCTGTTCCTTATATGCAATAGAGAGTTCCAATGCCTAAATCGATTGCAAAATTCCATTACCTTTAAAAGCCGCACTGAAGCTGATCAAAACCCTAATTTTGGAAGCCCAAGACTCGCATTACTTCATGACTGAAAACAAATAACGAGCCGCACTCAAGCTGATCAAAACCTAATTTTGGAAGCCCAAAACAGGACACAAGCTCAATGGATGAGACTGAGAAAAGGAAAATCCTAAAATTGCAGATGATGAAGAAAAGGAAAATCCTAACATTGCAGAAGATGAAGCTGCAGGATCAATCCATGGTCTAGGGTTTCTTCAGATAAGAAGTGATCATGAAGGTTTGTGAGAGAAGCAGAAGCAGGCCCTCAAGTCCAAGGGCCTTAAACTCGTATCTGCAGTCTTCTCAAAGTAGCCCTGAAGGAGAAGACGAGTGTCAGAGAGAGAGACAATCCAGAGAGCCGAATTGGAATCTATTTTGGCGTCCGTTGACACAACCCCATCCCATTTAAATAGACGCGTCAATTCCCTAAATATACCACCTATCCTTCCGTGATATCCGAAACACCCTTTTCGTGTTTATCGTTGGGAGAGGTTTCCTTCTAGTAAGATGCATTCCTTAGTTTTGTTTAAAATGGTAAATCTATAAATACTTTATAATCTTAAAAATAGAAAGGTCTCGAATTTGCTTCACTACTTTTGGATGGATTTTAGGCTTAGGCTGAAGCGAAGCATAGCCTGACGATGTAACTTTGGTTGGATTCGGGTTTCTTTCGTGCCAATTCATTTGAAGCTTCGGCCTCTTCGATCTAAACAAATAAATATCTATATAAAGTATTTTTAAAAGAATTTATTTTAAATTTTTTTAAATATATTAAATATAAATATCTAATTTTTTTATATTAAATTTTTTTAAAAAATATGAAATCTTTTTCCGAATCAGTCGAAGCACCAACATTACTTCATTTTTCTCACTAAATCAAATACTCTGAAGCGAATCTAACAACATTGGTGCATATAAGTTATAAGATAGGCTATTTTTAAGACAAATTATTTTTTTCTTCATATCCAAGATTTTGATGTGCGCCTTACTTCAATATAACAAAGATTGGTACCTTATATAAACTTTTTTTCCTGTCATTTACCTTAACTCCCATAATAACCAAAAAATACATTGATTGCATGTTTTTGTGGTGGGAGCATGAAAGGAATGGATCCATAAATTTTCGTTAGGATACAATTCTACAAGGCCTAGGCTTTATAAGAATAAAGTCAATCCTGGCCTTAAATTCTTGTCTAAGAAGCACTTTGGGCATTGAAAATCTTCATAATACATCTAAAATCAACTTCGCATACTGATTATGAAATTTGAAGCTCAAAAAATGGTATGCAGATCCGTGAACATTTATTTTTAAAGGAAAATAGATGATTTAGAAAAGGATGTGGTTTGTATAGAGCCTAGCTCTAAACAATCAAATTAGAGCCTACCTTCAAATAGTGTCGAGAAATGTGGTTTCAATGTTGAAAATCTTTATGATAGTCTTAAAATATATTTCATCTTTATTTATAAAGTTTAAAGCTTCAAAAATAGTATAGATTGACATATCTTTAAAAACTTAAAAATCTTGAAAATTGACCGTCCAAAAATACGTTGTAAAATACCCTATTCCAAAACTTGAAATCCATTTTTTTTCTCATGTCCATGCATCTTGATATCGAGATGACCAATTTGAGGATATTCGAGCATCAAAACAACCTCTTTTAGTGAAATTTTTGATATAGGCTCTAATTTGATTGTTTAGAGCCTCGGCTCTATATAAACTTTTCCCTTCAGAAAGGGGGGTGGTTTGTCTAAGGTTGCAACGTTAAATAATCCAATTAAGGTGCATATCCAAATTTTATCTATAATTTTGGTATAAAATATTTTTAGGATTATCTGAAAATCTATTTTCATCTCT